GCCACACGTCAGCTGGGGCTCTGACAATCAAGCGTTTGAGGAAAGACCTTCCAGAGCCTCATTATGGGGCCAGGCCCTGTCTGCGGTGCCGATTTCAGGCTGGCATCAGACGGGCATCAAAATTAGATTCCAGGGTAGAAAAACCAGCTAAAAACCCAGTCCTTGGGCTGGAAGGCTCTGAGTCCATCTTGCTTTGCTTCACAGTGGGAAATCGTAGCCCTGGCTGGTGTGGCTCAGTTGGATGAGTGTCCTCCCATGCACCAGAACGTCACCGGTTCACTTCCCAGTCAGTGCCCTGGGTTGCAGGCTCAATCGATGTTTCTCTCTCACATTGATCTTTCTCTCTCTCTCTCCCCCCGCCACTCTCTCTAAAATATAAAAAATAGACAAACAGCCCTCGCTGGTTTGGCTCAGTGGATAAAGCGTTGGCCTGTGGACTGAAGGGTCCTGGGTTCGATTCCGGTCAAGGGCACATGCCCAGGTTGCAGGCTCAATCCCCAGAAGGGGGCGAGCAGGAGGCAGCCGATCAGTGATTCTCTCTCATCATTGATGTTTCTATCTCTCTCTCCCTCTCCCTTCCTCTCTGAAATCAATAAAAATATATTTTTAAAAAATAGACAAAGTGGTAATCACTGCTGATCATCCTTATGTCACAATGTAGTCCTATTTGAGGATCTGAATTAAAATACTCCAGGGAGGGGTGGAGTTCTTCTAAATCTTTCCTTTAGGAGTGTCCTCTGTCTACTCCTCTTTGCCGCTGTCCCTGGAAGCTTTCCTGAAACTGCTCTGAAGTTGTGCGTCAGGTCCTTTCACATTGCCTTGCAAACAAAAGTTAGCCAAGACAGGCACACAGCCAGACTGGGGAGAGGTGTGCTTCCCCTCCCGGTCCTTCCTGAAGTGGATGGATTAGTCAGGGACCTGACACCCATTCTTTTTAAAAGGCTTAAATTACCAAAGTGGGGGAGGGGCCTCTGGGAGAAACTGGAGCCTACAAGTCACCTTTAAGTGGAGCAACTCCTCAGGCAAAATGGGAAACCTTGTGAGTTAAGACTTCCTCACCTCAGTGTGAATCTGTTTGTGGGAACCAGATCTGAGAGAACAAAAGGAAGAGAAATCACAATTAGCGGGAGCCCAGATGGGCTCAAGCGTCCACTCTTTCCCCTTTTTTCTCTCTGGGCGATTGTGCCTCTACTTCCCCCTCACACACCGCTGGTCAGGGGACTGAATCAGGCAACGTTTCACCAGCATCCTCTGCATTTCCCAGGACTTAACTTATTCCCTTTCTTCCACCTGGATTACCTGTTCTGCTCCTAGCCCCCAACTCAGTTACGATTTTATTTGACCTTTAAAATTCAACTGGAAGGTCACTTGTCCTATGAAATCTCCCATCCTCCTTCCTAACTCCCTATTTACTTCTTTTATATCCAGCTCTTTTGACATTTTATTCTGGCATTTATTTATGTACATGTCGATTTGTGGATGAAAGGGGCCACATGCTAACCTGACAAACTCAGGGGAGGCCTGCATGGCAGTCTTGCAAACTCAGAGACCTAAAGTAACCACAAAGGATGGTCTGAAATTAAACTTTAACTAAAAGCAGTTATGGTGGGTAGTTATATCCTAGGCCAGTATCTTCACTGACAAGGTCAACCTTTACCTTAACTGAGCCTATCTGTCTTTTTGCATCTATAATAACATACCCTTGAAATGTCTGGGTGACTTGTAACTTCCCTTTTTCTGGACCCCTTGGGGTACAACCTAATGTGCTGGGCGCCAGGACAGATACCACAAATTCCTTCATTATCATGTTAATTGTTCCTGAATCCACCTAAGTATGTGTCTATCCAATCCCAGGGGTCCCCTTCTCCACCACCCCCCCACCCCCCCCACCCCTCCCCACCCCCGCTTTGCTTTCTCCTGCCTCTCTAGTCTATCACCAATGGATTTCATGTAACCCACCTATGTCCCTTTTCTTTGATTGCAATTTATAAATACAGATGTAACCCGCCATTCTCCAGAGCATTATCTCAATTCATTGAGGTTCTGCTTCCCAGCATATGTCGACAGTGTGGCTCAAATAAACTCACAAAAATTCTTTACAGGTTTCAATAGTTTTTTTACATTAACAGATTCTATCATCAAATTGTAAACTAGGGCATGGGGGATATCGTGCTCCTCTTCAGGAGCCCAGCTCCTACTGAACTGCCTGGAGCACAGAAGTGTTCAATACATGTTTGTGGAATTAAATGGGGGAGGGAGGAGAACAGACTCTCTGGATTATGTTCAGGTCTTAGCCAGTGGAAGAGACCTTGGGCTATGAGCACTGTTGAGTCGGATCTGGCCATCTGGCAGCCCCCCAACTCCATGCAGAATGCCGGGGCTCCTAATGTCACCTCCCGCCAAGACATGGAGCATATACAACAGAACCTCCTGCTTCTCAAAACCTCGAAGCTGGTTCTAGGACATCGTAAATGCCCTCGTAGCACTTTATAGAATGGATACAAACACTACACAAACATAAGAAAATGATCTTCGTTTATAATTCTTAAAAAGGTTTTATGAAAAGCAACCTTGGTTTTCCAGGCTCCAAAACAAACATGCATCCCCACTGAGAAGGAAGCTGCTTCTGGGTGGGAGAGCAGAGGGCTACCAGCTCATGCTTCAGAACCAGCTGCCTCGTCTTACAGCTGTGTGACCATGGGCCCGAGCCTGCCCTCTCTGTGCCTCCATTTCCTTTTCTGTACAAAGGACAACTTAATAATACTGACCTACTAGGATCCGTGAGGCATCCAATAAAATGGTGCAGGTTAAGCCGCCTGCACGGTGCCTGGGGTTTCGATGAGCTAAAGTGCCTGTCAGCTGAGTTTTCTTATAAAACCGGCATCCACACCACCTCTGGGGTTTTATCAGTCACCGATTAGACCTAGCAAATGATGTCATTCCTATCCATTCGTTCAATAAATACTGACGGAGAGCCTGCTGTGTGCCAAGCTGTGCTCTGGGCATGGGAAATGCAGCTGAGAACACAATGACCCCGCTCCCATCATTTGTTCAAGAAATATCGTAAAGCGCCTACTGTGTGCCAGGCACATGCTAAGTGCTGGGGAAAAGCAGAGCTCTCTATCCTCATAGATGTGACCGTCAAAGTGGGAGAGAGACATTAGAAAAGAGCTTCAATCAAGCAGGTGGAGCTTATAGTAGGGAAAGACTGGGTGCACTGCTTAAACATGTTATTCTGTCCCTCAATTCATAATTGCATACCAAGGCATAAATGCTGTTCATGTTCTAGGTGAGTGGAGAAAACAGAGACTTGCTATAGTCTATGTTCAGTCAGAAAGCCTGCTAACTGCCTGTAAAAGCTCCACAGCAACAGAGGAGGCCTCTTCAGGAAAGGTGTGCCCCACCCTGAACTGGGGGTAGGAACTCAGAGGCTGGAGCCCGTGGGCCGAGGGCTCAGGGAGGAGTCCACAACCCTCAGTGCCATCCTGTCAGCCTCAGGATTAACACCCTCCTTGCAGTTTGCAATCACTCCCCGTCCCAGCCCCAGCTCCAGGCAACCACTAATCTGCTTTCTGCCTGCAAATTTGCCTTTTCCAAACATTTAATACAAATAAAACCACTCGACAAAACTTGGTGATTAAAATGTCCTAAAAGTGCGCTAAGGTGATGCTGAGAGATCTCTATACCTTTAAGTGTAAATCTTATCTTACTGTATGTAAGTTATACTTCAATTAAATTGTGTGTTGTTGTGTGTTTTTTTAATATATTTTATTTATTTTTTACAGAGAGGAAGGGAGAGGGATAGAGAGTTAGAAACATCCATGAGAGAGAAACATCCATCAGTTGCCTCCTGCACACCCCCTACTGGGAATGTGCCCAAAACCAAAGTATATACCCTTGACCAGAATCAAACCTGGGACTCTTCAGTCCACAGGCCGACGCTCTAGCCACTGAGCCAAACTGGTCAGGGCGTGTGTTGTTGTTTTAAACTTCCAGTGGCTTCCTATTATTTTGGGCTAAAATCCAAATTCATTTGCCTGGAGCCCTTCAAGATCTGGCATTGGCCTGGCCCTCCCACCTCAACCCTCCGCTTGCTCTGCTCTCCTTGCTGGCTGAACCTCCTCCTCCCACCAAACTCTGCCCTACCTCCAGGCCCTGCAGTGCCCTCTGCCTGCAAGGCTCTGGCCTTCATCTCCCCACAATTGTCCCTTCTTTCCTGTCCTTTATGTCTCCATCTAAATGGGCTCACAGAGGCCTTCCCTGCCAGTGACACTGTTCTCTCTCTTTCCTTCTTACCAGCTCTCACCATGCTTGCATTGTTAAATGTCTACAGTATTTCACCATTAAAATCTAAGATCCTGCCTGGCCAGGCATGGCTCTCAGTGTCTGAGTGTGACCTATGAACCAGGAGGTCACGGTTTGATTCATGGTCAGGGCACACGCCTGGGCTGTAGGTTCTATCCCCAGGAGGGGGCATGCAGGAGGCAGCCGATCAATAATTCTCTCTCATTATTTATGTTTCTCTCTCTCTCTCCCTCTCCCTCTCCCTCTCTGAAAGCAATAAAAACATTTTTTTTAAATCTAAGATTTAGAAGGGCAGGGCCAGTCTGTCTGTTTCATCAGCATCTAACACAGTGGTTCCCAAACTTATTTGGCCTACCTCCCCCTTTCCAGAAAAAATATTACTCAGCCCCTGGAAATTAATTTTTTAAAATTTTAATAGCAGCTACTCATCGCCCCCAAATGCACCTGTGGCCATCACCGCCCCCCTGGATCGCTGCAGCGCCCACCGGGGGGCGGTAGCGCCTACTTTGGGAATCACTGCTCTAACACATAGGGGAGCTCAATCTGTTGAACCCTCCAATGATGGTGGAACCTGGATGAGGATGCTAAGAAGGGACCAAGGTATTCCAAATGAAGAACAGGTGTGCACAAAGGAGACCGCCATGAGCCAATTAGAACTGCGGGTTTGGGCTCGTTAAAAGATAAACAGAGGCATGTTTAAACATGTAAGAGTTTACTTAAGTGAAAATCAATTCAAATCAGGCAGCACCAAACTGGAAAACTCCTATGGAGAAAGTGGGGAAGCAACACAAGGAAATTGACTGGCTATACTTAAAGCTTAGCTAACAGTTTATGGTTGGTTGTTTATGACAGCACTTCGATTTCATAACCTTGAGGTTTACATTTTGGTTTACTTACTTTGTAGACAGTCACGGCATTAGAACCCCATCCGTCTAATGGCCTCCTTATTGAATCAATGAAACAGGCTGCTCAGTTCAAATGGAGAATTTCTGTGGCACTTATGTGCTTAGAACTTGGCAAAGGAGTAACAAACATCAAAGCAGGAAGAAGACAAAAGATCAGAACTCACCGGAGACTGCCTGCCACTTGCCAACTCCTTGTTGACATAGGGAAAGAGGACTTCAGAGGCACGGAAGCTGGCGGCAGGCCTTGGCTTGTTTGCTGATGACTCTTGGCAGCCTGGACATGAAGAACAGAAAGACCTAATCCTTCCACATCAATATATGTGCGTCAGGGGGGTAATTTAATCCCCGAGAGGAGCAGTCACTTTGAATGTGGTTAACTGAGGTGAACTTTGGTTCCGCCACAGGCCTCAGAGACGCTCTTGGGGCCCATTTGAGGTCACTGACTGTTAGTTCAGGTGTCAGCAGCCCTCTGAAGCCTTGCGGGAGAATCCGTCCCGTCCCTCTCTCCTAGTTTCCCGCAGTTGCCAGCAAGCCTTGGTGTTCCTTGGCTTGTAGCTGCCTCACTCCAGCCTCTGCCTGTCTTCACATGGCCGTCTTCCCTCTGTGTATCGCTAGGTGTGTGTCTTTTCTTCTAAGGACACAGGTCAGTCTGTTTTTAGGGCCCACCCTACTCCAGTATCACCTTATCTTGTATACATCTGCAAGGATCCTGCTTCCAAAAAAAGGTCACATTCTATGGTTTGGGGAAGGGTGTGAATTTGGAAGGGAAACTATCCAACCCAGTACACTGACCCTGAGTGGCTCTTAGGGAGTAGTGGCTCAAACCGTGGCCTGAGTTCAAGCACTAATTGTACTGACTGTGGACAGAAAGGGCCAGACCTGGCCCTGAGTGCCCATGGCACCAAAGGCCAACCAGACTTCTGCTGGCTCCTAGGTGCACTGGCACCAACAGGTGCCACCGAACCCTGGACACTGCCTTGGACCAGAAGCCTGAAAAGAAGTATCCTCTCAAAAGAATCCTGAAGCCCTAACCGGTTTGGCTCAGTGGATAGAGCGTCTGCCTGCAGACTGAAGGGTCCCAGGTTCAATTCCAGTGAAGGGCATGTACCTTGGTTGCGGGCACATCCAGGGGGTGTGCAGGAGGAGCTGATCAATGTTTCTCTCTCATCGATGTTTCTAGCTCTCTATCCTTCTCCCTTCCTCTCTGTAAAAAAATCAATAAAGTGTATTAAAAAAAAAAAGAATCCTGAAGTACATGCTACAAAGTAACAGGCCAGTTCCGTGGGCTTCCAACTTGTGTAGGTTTACAGGGCCTGTGCACAGAGGGGTTCCATGCTAGCTTTCATACTCTGCTCTCAACATGTTGAAATTCTTAATATTTTAACAAGGATCCCTGCAAATTATGCAGCTGACCTGCCTGTCCTCTTCCAAAATGTCAAGCTCAGTTGGTTAGAGCATCATCCCAATACGCCAAGGTTGAGGGTTCAATTCCTCGTCAGGGCATACACAAGAAGCAACCAATGAGTGCATAAGTACAGTGGAACAATGAATTGATGTTTCTCTCAGTCTCTCCTTTTCTCTCTCTCTAAAATCAATCAAAAAATTTCATAGCCCTGCCAGTGTTGTTCAGTGGTTGAACACTGACCCATGAACCAAGAGGTCTCCAGTACAATTCCCAGTCAGGACACATGCTCAGGTTGCAGGCTCCATCCCCAGTAGGGGGCATGCAGGAGGCAGCCTATAGATGATTCACTCTCATTGATGTTTCTATCTCTCTATCCCTCTTCCTCTCTCTCTAAAAATCAGTATAAAATTTTTTTTTTTTACAAAAATATCATTAAAGACAAAGAAAGGCTGAGGAGCTGTTTCAGATTCCGGAAGACCAAAGAGACATGACAATTAAATGCAACTCCTATTTTGGATCCTGGATGTGGGGAAAATAGCTACAAAGGACTGTTAAAATATTAAGCTATGTAAATTTGAGGATCTAATTGGTTTTATTAAATGATTCCAAAATCAGGCAGCACCTCATCTAGCAATTAGAAAGATCCAAGGAGATGTACAAAATGAAAGCCTTTTATGGACAGAAGAGGGAAAAGTGTGGATTATTTCAGGCAAGATCACCTCCTTCAAGAGACAAAAGGGGTCTATCAGGCAGATGTCAATATAAGAATGTCCAAACCTGTAGAGAATTTTTATAATAATGTATTTGAGCCAAACAGAGAATATGCCTGTAAGCAAGATCTCAAAAGACTGAGGAAAATGCTCCAGAGAATAACAGTTTGCAGTTTCTTTCATGCTTTTGAGATTAAGGAGGGATCATAGGGAAGATTAAATGAAGGTGGGAGAAAGCAAGGCACGGATCAATCAAATTACAGGATAGGTATTAAGATTTGTGCTCTCTTGAAGGAGGGGACTGAAAGAAGGAATTTCAAAGGTGTGTTAACCATGCACAGAAACAGAGGGCATGGCTTGCTTAAGGCAAAGATAAGCCTTTTACTAGGGCGTTATATGCCTGGGGCATGACTACCCACCATGACCTGCCTGTGCTGGGCTGTATATCTGGCGCTTCGGCCAGACAGGTCAGGCTGTGCTGTATGTTTCTAAAACACATAGATAGGAAGGTACTGACATCAGGCCAGGCCTTGAGATATGGTCTCATGGCCCCTTCCCAGCACGCAGGCCTTCTTTCTCAGAAGGCCCGGAAGTCTCATTCCAAATTTGGGAGACAAAGGACTGGAAAAAGTATAAATAAAGAGAGTTTCCTCCATATTGGGGGGCCCAGAATTTGAAAGACACATTTTCTCTGGGCCTCCACAAAATTTAATAATATGTAACTCTTGCAGTCGGCGCTGCAGTTCGGCCTCTGCTTCGGTGGGGTGCTGTAACTGTAGTCACTGGCCATGGAAGTTGCAGTTCAGCCTCTGCTTCGGCAGGGTGCTGTAACGGTAGTCAGCTGGCCAGCTTAATAAAGGCTCTTAAATTTAAATTCTGAGTCGGTGGTCTATCTTGCTGAGTGAACCCATAACACTGCCCAGTTAAGAATTTGTGATCAGAACCACTTTTTGTCTACACACATTGCCTCTGTAGTGCTGACCAGGAAAATCAGACTGACAGTGTAAGATTACCTTCCTGAGGGGGGCTGAAATTGCAATGTGGTGATGTGGGACTTAGCACAAGTGACTCCATTTGGGGCCTCTTGGGTCTTTTTTAATGGGACATTATAGGGACAGCTGGCAACATTCGAATGTGAACTGTGGATTAGTTCATAGAACTCTACCAATATGAAATGTCCTGATTTTATTGGCCTGTGGTGATGTAAGAAGGAAGACACAGAGGGCATAAATGGTGATGGAAAGTAAATAAAGTTTTAAAAAATGTCCTTGTTGGTAGAAGGTACATAGTGAATTACTGAGGGGAAGGACCATGATGTCTGCAACTTGGCTGCAAATGGTCCAGGAAAAAAAATGCATATGAATAAAGTACAAATACTGAAGCAAAAGGGTCAAACATGAACAACTGGTAAAGATAAGTAAAAGTTATAACAAAGTTCTATTGATCTTGCAATCTCTGTAGGGTTGAAATTACATCAACATTAAAAGTTCCGGCCACCACCCCAACGCCACGTCCCCTGCGAAGCTCAGTAAATTACCGGACGAGACCCCGCCACACCCCTAGGAGGGAAGGTACCGATTTGGTCCGCGCTGACAGCAGCCTCCAGAGCCCGAGAGTAACGTGGGTGGAGCCCACGTGACCGGAGGCCCGCGTCCAACATGGCGGCCTCCATGGGTTGCTGGCTCCTCTTCCTCACGCTGCTCAGCTTCCTCTGGGACGCGTCCGGCGGCTTGGGTTGGGGGTGAGTACAGCTCCCGGAGACCGTGGGGGAGACGCTCCCGGAGACCGTGGGGGAGACGCGGTGAGCCGGGTTCGGGGGGCCCCCCGCCCGGGCCCCAACCCCTCCAAGCTCACACCGCGCCCCCCCCCTACCCCGCAGGCCCTCCCTGGACGACGACTTGCTGCTGCCCTACCCCCGCGCGCGCGCGCGCTCCGCCCGGGACTGCGCGAGGGTGCGTGTCGGCAGCCGCAGAGCACGAGAGCTGGCCGCCCTCCCCGCGACCCCAGACGCCCGCCACCCCGCGGTGCGCACCTTCGTTTCGCATTTTCGCGGTCCGCGCGGTGCCCGGCCACCTGACGCGGGCTGCCGAGCCCCTGCGCACCTTCTCGGTGCTGGAGCCCGGCGGGCCCGGCGGCTGCGCGTCGAGGCGCCGCGCCACCGTGGAAGAGACGGCGCGGCCGGCCGGCTGCAGCGTCGCCCAGAACGGCGGCTTCTTCCGCATGGCCACCGGCGAGTGCCTGGGGAACGTGGTGAGCGACGGGCGGCGGGTGAGCAGCTCCGGGGGCCTGCAGAACGCGCAGTTCGGGATCCGCCGCGACGGGACCCTGGTCACCGGGTGAGGGGGCAGGAAACCCCGTGACTGTCGTGGGTAGAGGGCCTGAGGTTGGGGTTGTGTCCGTCCTGCCATGTTCAGCTCAACCTAATCAAGCTGAGCCTCCGCTTCCTCGTCTGCAGAAGGGGGTGAGGAATACCCTCCTTGCAGGGCTTAGCTGTCATCCACTGTCATGGAGCGCTTGTTTGTATAGGGGACTGTGCACTGGGGACGCGTGGAGCAGTGAACGAGTACACACAGTCTTTGCCTTCAGGGACTTCTCCCATTACTAGGAAAAATAAAAGCCAGGGAGATCATTAAGATGAATTCAGATTGTGTATGTGCAGTGAAGCAATGAACCTGGTGAACCGGTTGTAAATAGAGTGTTGATTTTAGGGAGGAAGGTCAGGGAAGGCTTGTTGGAGAAGGTGACCTTTGAGTGGAGGCCTGAAGATGAATCACACGTCAGCCAGGGTCAGACCTGGAGGAAGAGCATTGCAGTCAGAAGGAACAGCAAAGGCTAAGGCACAGAGGGGCAGAGGGGCTTGGTGTGTATGAGGGACGGAAGGAAGGAGCAGAGGATCAGAGGATGGCAGGACTGACTTTGAGACGAGACTGGAGGGCCATAGTGGAAGCAAGGAGGTCAGTTAAGAGCTGTACTGGCATCGGGTGGTAGCTTGGCCAAGACAACGGACTGTGTAGACCAGCGGTTCTCAACCTGTGGGTCGAGACCCCTTTGGGGGTCGAACGACCCTTTCACAGGGGTCGCCTAAGACCATCGGAAAACACATACATAATTGCATATTGTTTTGTGATTAATCACTATGCTTTAATTATGTTCAATTTGTAACAATGAAAATACAACCTGCATATCAGTTATTTACATTACGATTCATAATAGTAGCAAAATTACACTTATGAAGTAGCAACGAAAATAATTTTGTGGTTGGGGGTCACCACAACATGAGGAACTGTATTAAAGGGTCGCGGCATTAGGAAGGTTGAGAACCACTGGTGTAGACTGTTTATAAGGCTGCTTTTGGGATTAGGACCAGGCAGGTTCCTGAGGCAGGAGGAGAAATTGGGCAGTCAGGCTGTTGGGGGTGGGGTGGGAAAGGAGCCCCGCTACCCACAGCTGCCCCTGCTGGTAAGTGAACCTCACACCTTCCCTGTGTCCAGGTACCTGTCTGAAGAGGAGGTGCTGGACACTGAGAATCCATTTGTGCAGCTGCTGAGTGGGGTCGTGTGGCTGATTCGAAATGGAAGCATCTACATCAATGAGAGCCAGGCGACTGAGTGCGATGAGACACAGGAGACAGGTGGGGTGGGGGTGGCCACAGTGCTCCTGAGAACCAGGACCAGAGGGATCGTGGGGGAAGTCTTTCAGTCAGTACTACTCTAGGTTCTGGGGGTCAGGGATTAAGACAGATAAGGTGCCTGCTCAATATATGAGAGAGAAAATAGATACATCATTTGCTAAAAAGAAGTGGTAAATGCTAAGAGAAAAATAAAGTTGGGAGAACGGGGATAGGTGGAGAAAAGGAACTACGGACAAAAAATGGAGAAGTGCTGCTAAAATGTTCGTGGACCAGCAGCATCTGTGTCACCCAGGAGCTTATTTTATTTATTTTTTAATATATCTTTATTGATTTCAGAGAGGAAAGGAGAGGGAGAGAGAGATAGAAACATCATGATGAGAGAGAATCATTGATCGGCTGCCTCCTGCACACCCCCTAACAGGGATTGAGCCTGCAACCTGGACATGTTCACTGACTGGTGAATGCAACTGTGATCTCCTGGTTCATAGGCTAATGCTCAACCACAGAGCCACACTGGCCGGGCCCAGGAACTTGTTTTAAATGCAGAATTTCAGGCCTCCTTCAAACCTACAGGATCAGAATCCCTGGGGGTGAGGCCCAAGCTTGTGTTTTACCAAAGCCCCTGGGTTATTCTGATGGACACTCAAGTTTGAAAACCACTGGAGTGTGGAATGCTGGGGCAGGAAAGGGTCACCATGGCTCTAATGTGGAAATGAGCTATTTTAGACTGAGCAGTCACGGATGGCCTCACGGAGGTGGCGTAGATCAGGAGGAGCAAGCTGTGGGAACAGCTGAGCAGAAGCGCAGTCCAGCAGAGGGAACAGAAAGTGGCTGCAGGGTGATGAGAGGGAAGCCCCGGGAGATGCAGTAGGAGAGCAGGCCAGGATGGTCACGCTGGGCCTTGGGAAGGTGTTTGGATATTGCTCTAAGAACAGTGGAAGCCATAAGAGCTTTTCGGCTGGAGGCTGACATGACTTGATGTACACTTAAAAGTCCTTTGGCTCCTATGTGAGACTGGCTGCAATGGGCAGGGGGAGGCAGGGAAACACTGGATGGCATGGACTGGCAGGAAGTGGCAGACAGAGCCCACAGGCCTCCCGAAAGGCCCGTGATCAGCCCAGCTGCTTCTCTTTCAGGTTCCTTCAACAAATTTGTGAATGTGGTATCGGCCAGGACAGCTGTGGGCCATGACCGGAAGGGGCAGCTGGTGCTCTTCCATGTGGACGGGCAGACGGAGCAGCGGGGGTGAGTGCCAGGAACCAGAGCCTCAGGGTCTTGGGTTAAGTCCGCTTTGAGGAGCTTGCACCCACCAATGGCTGCCCTCTGACCAGCTGTCACCTGGGGATGCTCACACCCATCTGTCCCCTGCCTTCCCGTGGTCTGTACCACTTCCAAGAGCTCATCATCCTCCACACACTTCCTCTCAGGCTCCCCAGTTTACATCTCCCCCCTCCCGAGTCTCAGTTGGGGTGAAAAGAAATGATCACAAAGTTAGCAGGGAGAAGACCCCGATTCCAGTCCAAGCTCAGCTATCTGCCAGCTCTGTGGCCATAGGCAAGTCACTCAACCCCTCTGGGCCACAGTTTCGTGCTCTGTAAAGAGAGTGTATTATTGTGCTGTTGCTGTGTAAGAAATGAGCACCCATTTGTTCATCATAGTTCTGTAGGTCAGGAGTCTAGAGGGCTCACTGGGCTCTGTGTTCAGGACATCCCACAGACAAGAGTCAAGCCGTTGGCCAGGCAGGGCACTTATCTGGAGCTTCTGGGAAAGAACCCTCTTCCCAGCTGATTTAAGTTGCTGGCAGAATGCAGTTCCTTGCAGTTGTAGAACTGAGGTCTGTGTGTCCTTGTCGGCTGCCACCTGGGGCCTCGGCTCCTACATCTGCCCACATTTCGCCTCGTGTGTACCCTCCCCATCTTCAGGCCAGCAGAGATGTGTCAAATCCCTCTTATCCCCTTGTATTTCCAATCTCTCACTTCCTCTTCCACCACTGCATTTTTTTTTAACCCTCACCAATTGATTTTTAGAGAGACAGGAAGAAGGAGAGAGAGAGAGAAAGAGAAACATCAATGTAAGAGAGAAACATAGATCTGTTGCCTCCCACACACACTCAAACCAGGGAGCAAACCTGCAACCTAGGCATGTGCCCTGACTGGGAATCGAACCCACAACGTTTTGGCATATGGGACAATGCTCCAACCAGCTGAGCCTCCAGCCAGGGGTCTGCTTTTAAGGGCTCTTGTGATTCTATTGGGCCCACTCAGATAATCCAGGACAGGGTTCCCATTTGTTGACAGCTATGCCATGTAGTGTAACAATCTTGGGAGTGATCTCATTATATTCACAGTTTCTGGGATTAGGATGGGCGTCTTTGGGGGGGCATTTAGAAATTTGCCTGCCACCATGGACATGATACCATCCACCACGGGAAGTAAGAAGAATTGAACCGAAATGGTGGTGGGCACTGTCAGCAGTGCTGCTCTTGTGTTGCAGCATTAACCTGTGGGAGATGGCGGAGTTCCTGCTGAAACAGGATGTGGTCAACGCCATCAACCTGGATGGAGGGGGCTCTGCTACCTTCGTGCTCAATGGGACCTTGGCCAGTTACCCGTCAGATCACTGGTAAACACACCAGAGTCCCCTTCTTGAGGTCTAAGTCCAGGCCTGTCCCTGTCTCGTTCAACAAATACTGAGTACTGGCTATGTGCCAGGCCCTGGGAGGAGCAGTGAGCAGGAGGAGCTGAGATCCCTGCCTCTCACTCCGTACAGGAAGTACACATAGTGTACCAGTACTACCTAAGCTGGTGAAAGGGGGTTGATTAGTCAGGAAAAACCTCTCTGAGGATAATGAAGCATGAGCTAAGATCTAAAGGAAGAAGAGGTGGGTAGATGGGGGGGAGCGAGGGTGGAAGAGCCTTGTGGGTACGAGAACAGCATGTGCAAAGGCCCTGGGGTGAGAGGGACTGTGGGGGTTGGGAACCTATAAAAGTTTGGAGATGGTACAATGGAGAAAGGCAGCACTCGTAGGCTGCAGTAGGGGGTTGGAGGGGTCGGCTGGGGATGGTCAGTACCCCAGCCTCTTCAAACACTGTGTCCCCTTGCAGCCAGGATAACAACATGTGGCGCTGTCCCCGAAGTGTGTCCACTGTGGTGTGCGTGCACAAGCCCCGCTGCCAGCCGCCTGACTGCAACGGCCACGGAACCTGTGTGGAGGGTCACTGCCAGTGCACGGGGCACTTCTGGCGGGGCGCCACCTGCGACGAGCTGGACTGTGGCCCCTCCAACTGCAGCCAGCATGGGCTCTGCACAGAGAGTGAGTGGAGGCTCTGGGGAGGCAGCTCTCACCCGGGCTCCCAGGTCTCCCTGCCCAGTTCTGCCTGGGCCCTCACCTGACCTTCTCGGTCTTGTCTTGGCAGCTGGCTGCCGCTGCGAAGCTGGATGGACAGGGTCCAACTGCAGTGAAGGTAAAAGCCACAGGCCGGCCCTGCCCCAGCCCCGGGCACATGGGGAGAGGGTGAGAGCGGCAACTGCCTTCGTCCTCACCTCTTGGTCTGCACGTCGCTTGCCTCTTGCTCTCGCCTCACGTATAAATCACTGCATTGTTGTGCAGGGGCTGCTGCAACAAATGCTACGAACTGGGCAGCTTAAAACAGAAATATATTCTCACACTTCCAGAGGCCAGAACTCCAAAATCAAGGTGTCCTCAGAGGCATGCTCCCCCTGAAAGGTCTAGTGGAGGATCCGACCTCTTGCAGCTCCTGGTGGCTTCTAGCATTCCTTGGCTTGTGGCCTCATCGCTCCAATCTCTGCCTCCATCTTCACATGGCCTCCCTGTGTGTTCAGTCTCTCTCTCTGTTATCTTACCAAGGAGCCCTGGTCACTGGATTTAGGGGTCACCCTAAATCTAAAATGATCTCAAGATCCTTAACTTGAGTGTATCTGCAGAGACCCTATTTCCAAATAAGTTCCGTTTACAAGTTCTAGGTATTAAAGCGTATCTTTTGGGGGGACACAGTTCAACCCACTACAACTATCTACAGCTTAAACCCTCCGGTGGTTTTCTTTCACACTTAGTGAAAAACCCGAACTGCTCAGTGTGACCTGCCAGGCCCTGGGTGCTCTGGCCCCTCCCTGCTCACTGTGCCCTCTGCTCCTTTCTAAGTCTCAGCCTAACGTCGTGTCCCCAGGGACCTCCCACCACCACCCCCTCCGTGGTTTGCTGCTGCCAAGAGGTCACATCCCTGCCGTGTTTGTCCTCGCTTGCACTTTGACGTTTGCTTTCTGGCTTGCTGGCCACCTGCCCTCCTAGACTCAAAGCTCCGCGAGGACACAGTTTCAGGGAGAATATGTGAGCCTAAAGGCCACTCGGGGTGACTGAGGTCCATCTGCCACCTGTGGACCCATCTGGGAGAGATAGGGCCAGCTTTTGCAAAGACCCCCCTTTCCCCATCCCAGTTTGCAGCAATGGCTCCTTCGGGGAGGATTGTGCCAAGAAGTGTCAGTGCCAGAATGGAGCTGCCTGTGACCCAGTTCGGGGGACCTGCACCTGTCCCCCTGGCTTCACTGGAGACAGCTGTGTTCAGGGTAAGCTAGATGGGCCCCTGAGTCAGCCAGGAGGGAGCACCACCCTGGGAATGTGTGTGTAGCGGCTACACCGCTCCTTTAGCCGGGCTCTGTGCACACCTTGGGCCTATCCTGTCGGTTCAGGGAGAGGCCCTGCCGCTGGCACCTCCACTTCCATCTTCCTGCCGCCTCACTGCAGAGTGTCCCCTCGGCTGGCACGGGCCGGGCTGCCAGAGGCCTTGTGAGTGTGAGCACCAGTGTCCCTGCGACCCCCAGACCGGCAACTGCAACCTCACCCAGGCTCCCAACCTGAGCAGCATTCTCTCCCAAGGTACAGCCCCTCCTGACCCCACCCACCCACCCTGGGGGCAGGAAAGGGCGGACCCAGACCCTCCCGGACCCTCAGCCTCCCGGACCCTCAGCCTCACCCTGGTGTCTTACAGTGAAGCAGTGTCTCCAGCCATCCCAGGTCAGCCTGCAGACAAGAGAATTCTCCCTCCTCACTGGGTAGGTGCTTTACTGGGACCTGGGGCAGGGGTGGGAGGAGACCCCTCCCTCTACCTCCGAGGGACAGGGCAAGGCCAGCAGGTGGCAGCTGGGCACCCAGGTGATAGTCCTCCAACATGAGCACAGGGAGAGTCACAGCGGATTCTCAAAGGGATCTGGTGAGAAGGACCCTGGTCAGCACCCCAGTGGGAGTGGAGGGGGCCAGGCGTGGGCTTACTGTCCGTGGTTGTGACACAGCTTGTTCTCAGCTCCTGGTCCAGAAGCACCAGGCCCCACGGAGCTTGAATTATTCCTCGGGCACCTGTGTGCGCTCAGGCCTTGTGTTGAGGCTTTGCTTTCAAGCCTGACCTCAGGGAAGAGGGTATATCCACCACCAGAGTTTTTGCCTTATCGGTCTGGGGAGGAGCCCGGGCATCTGCATTCCAGGTGATGCCAATCCCTTGGTTCTCACCTCCCATGCCCCCAGCCTGGGTGCCGGCCTGACCCGCCCCACGCAGCCCCCTCCGGGAAACCAGGTGTGGGTACGAAGGAAGAGCTCCCCAGCATCGTTCCAGAGGCAGCCCTGGGAGCTCATCGGTAATGCGGATGCCACGTCCCTCCTGGGATCCTGACCCAGCGTGTCTGGGTGTGGTGAGGCCTGGAGAAAACTGAAAATGTGCTTTCAAAAGGCACCAGAGCAGGGACAGGAGCTCCAGCCCCTGGCCTAAAGCTCAGGCTCCTGAGGGCCCCTTCCCCCCCACACACACACCTAGAACCCATTGGCAACCATGGGGAGCCCTGCGGGCTGAGGGGCATGGCTGCAGGTCCTGCACCCAGCAATCTACCAGTGTTCACTTTCACCTTGAGAGCTGCAGCTGAAGATTCATAAGAAGAAAAAAAGATCGTTGAAATACTGCACCCTGTGCCCGCCCTCCCTGCCATGAGGAAGGGGTTCTCCCTGCTCCGTCTGCTCTGAGGACCTGGAGAGAGTCCAGCCTCTGGTCAGCAGGCATCCCATGGAGCACAGGATGCAGGCTGATGCCTCCCAGGCTGGATTAAGTCGTTTGAATTGATCTTCACAGTTTAGCATTTTTAAAAGATTAACATCTGAAAATCAGTAACATTCATGTAAAACCCCTTTTGTTAATAGTTTCTCTTGATATATCAGATAGATCCCGCATAGCATCTATCCGCACTGCTCCCTGAACATGTGTCTGGATGGGCCTCAGCCCCACAGGCCCATTTGCACCTTGACAGTCCCTGTGTGGTCCCTGCAGGCCCGACCCAATGCCCCTGTTGTGGGTGAAAGAGCGAAGTAGGAGGGAGGAACATCCCTCCAACACTCCCACAGCCCTGAGTCGGCCCCACAGGCCCCACTCAGGATTTCTCTCCTGTCCTCAGGACCACCTGTCTGGCCCTCACCCTGGCCCTGGTTTTCCTTCTGCTGATCAGCATAGTGGCGAACGTGTCCTTGCTCCTCGGTTCGAGGGCAGAGCGGAGCCGGCACCTGGATGGGTCCTATGTCTACCACCCGCTGCAGGAGATGAACGGGGAGCTCTCGGCTGCCGAGAAGGAACAGCTGGGTGAGACCTGCAATCCCTTCAAGGACTGAATGACCCAGCTGCCCACCATGGCCTGTTTGGAGGCTCATTTTGACACTGTCTGGCTTCTGCAAGGGATAGTCCAAGGCCACTGACTCTGGGTGGCCTCAGCCCCAGGGCCAAGCCAAGCTTCTGATAGCAGGTATGCCTCAGCCCCTCACCTGGCCCTCGGCCCTCTTGCCTGGATGTCTGCCATGGCAGGAGCAACCTGAGCAACACAGTGTTCCGAGACACTGCTCCTTCCCCGCCTGCCTGTGTCTGCTGCCATGAGGCCCGTCCCCCAGGGCCTCCGCCAAAGAGCCTCCAGCTTCCTGGGGCCTGCCACCAGCGAATGGAGCTCACCGTGACCAAGTGCAGGCTGATGCCTTGCACTGGGGTGGATTAAAGAGACAACGGCCATGTCACGGGACCCTTTTCTATAGACCTCATCATGGCATTTGCCAACTAGAATTCGGTTTCCTATCACAGGAAACTCCTTAGAAGGGACGGGGGATGAAATCATGTTTACAGGCTTTCTATTTTGTCATCCTACCACCCAGAGGGTTTTTATACCTCTTGAGTAAATTTACATAATTAAAGGAGCCCTAAGGCAGTGGCTGAATTCTGAATCATGGACTTAAGAGTGCTCCTGGGTCTTAATAGGCAGGGCTCCTTTACCAGAGCCCTGAGCAGGCAGCCCCCAGCACCTCCAGCTCCCTGATGTATCTGTTTATTTCATGTGCACCTGAGTCACCTGGAGACCTTATTAAAATGCAGATTCTGGCCCAGGGCTGAGTGTCTACGTCTAACAAGCTCCCAGGTGGTGCCGAGGCTGCCCCTGACCACACTTTGAACGGAAAAGGTTTAGTGCACATTGTATTTTAATAGAATTTAAATTAATTACCAGTGTTTAAAAGTCAGAGAGGTAGTAGCCAGGCTGATGCCCTCATGAGGCAACAGCTGGCCAGAGCTGAGACTGTGCAGCCCCATCTGGCCCTCCACTCATCGCAGCCCCAGCAGCCAGCTCCCCTCACCTGTGACCTCCAGCCTTGTAAGTATCAGAGTTTGTAAGGGTCTTCAGGAAGCCTGGCAGGTTACCCCCCTACCCCGTCCCATGAATATGTGCTTAGCAGTTGTTCTGGGAGGGGAGATGGAGACAGCTTTCAGGAAGTCTTCAGGTAAACCCATGCACATGATGGACTGCGTGTTTGTGTCATCATCCCTCAATTTCTACGTTGAAGCCCTAACCCCAGTGTGGTGGCATTAGGAGGTGGGGCCTTTGGTTTAGGTGGGCTGGTGAGGGTGGTGCCCTCCTGATGGTGAAATGGGAAAATTGAACTGGAACTCATGGTGTTCCTCTGGGCAAGATGGTTCCTGGATTCTTGTCCGGTCCATGGACGAAAGGTGGTATAGTAAAAGGTGGAAATTTATTGAGAAACAAGCACAGACTCCCATGTGGAGAGAGGGAAAGAGTAGACTAAGTCCCTTTTTCCCAACGCTTTATAAAGGCTGCAGTTTTTTGTGCCTTGATATCCCTTCTGATTAGGTCACTATAGCAACTTCAGAGCTCAAACCTCCTGTGAGGTACCTGAGGTTCCCTCCTCCTCCCTTATTGTTTTCCTATTCCCTTTGGGCTTTCCTCTTCCCTCTCTGAATGAGGGGCTTCCTTCCCTTTATTCTGTAAATGTATAGCTTCTGCAGCTCCCGGCTCCCTTATTCTATGGAAATGTACCTTCTGCAGCTCCCAGCTCCCTTATTCTATGGAAATGTACCCTTTGCAGCTCTGTAGCCCTGTGCTTTTTCCATGGATCCTTAATTCCTAAAATTTTCTAAACCTGCCTATTTCACCCCTAAAACCCCCTTTCAATGGGAGTGGCACCCATGACAAAAGGAAGAGACCAGAGAGCACCCTCCCCACCTGCTCACAGAAAGTGAGATGGCAGCGTGTACAAGCCAGCCTGCCAGGAACCAAATGTGCCAGCACCTTGATCCTGGACTGCCAGCCTCAGAACTGTGAGAAATAAGTGTCTGTGCTTTGTAAGCCACCCGGTCTGTGGTACTTATCATAGCAGCCCTGAGACATGGTGTAACTAGTAGTTCTCTAGTGCAGCCGAACCAGTCCAACAACCAGTTACTGCTTATCATGAAAAATAATCATCTCTCATGATCCTGGGTCTACTGGGTGCTTCTGTTGATCTGGGCCAGGGACAGTCACTTCCCCGGGGCTCAGGCCAGAGCTGAGGGAGTCATGTTCCAGGTGGTGTTTCGCCCTCCAGGAGGCTGGCCTGGGCTGGGGAATGTGGAGGGTGACAAGGATTGCAGAAGAGAAGCGGGGGAGGCCTTTTGAAACCTCGGCTCAGAAGTGGTGTGGCCTCGTTTCCACCACATTCTATATCAGATAAAGTCCCCAGGCCTGGATTTCAGGGGAAAGAAGACGGACTCCACCCCTTAATGAGAGGAGCTGCTAAGAGATGGGAAAGGAGCCCATTACTATGATCGAGTTACTATAAAGCGGGTCTGTTTCACTTTCGAAAGGAGGAATTCAGAATGGCTGGTGTGGCTCAGTGGTTGAGCTACCACCATGAACCCAGGAGATCACAGTTGATTCCTAGTCAGGGCGCATGCCCCGGGCTGCGGGCTCAATCCCCAGTAGGATCTCTCATCATTGATGTTTCTCTCTCCCTCTTCCTCTCCTTTCCTCTCTCTGAAATCAATAAAAACATTTATAAAAGAGAGAGAGAATGTCATAGGCCAGTTCTCAGCCTCCAAGTCCCTGGAAGAATGTCTGTGGGTCAGTGGGTCTGTCTGGCCCCTAAGTTGGGGATAGATAAGTGGGGAGCCACTGTGCCAGCCTGGGACGTTCCCTTCAGGGTGCTGCGTTCAGTCCTCTGGCCAGAGCCACAGAACCATTGACCTTCGGCATGTCGGTCAGGCACCCGGTGAACCCACAGCCCACAGCTCTCCAAGCCACTGGAGGTGCCACCTCCTCACAGCCCCTTGCCCAGTCTGTGCCCCCAGTTGGAGGGAAGAAAGGGAAGGTGGCAGGGCGTTCTCAGCATGTCCGGGAACTTAGGGACAGCCACTTGTTCACGGAACCAGGTGATGCTGCAAGTTTTCATTCCTCCTGGGAATGTAAGCAAAACTGCGTTCCTCCAGGGAGCTTGTGTTCCAACACCTGGAAGGTTCATTTTGCATTTTGCTTTCTTTATGGACCAAGCAGCCCTGCGCTGCTTTGATGATCAAGAGTAAGACACAGTGGCAAGAGCTCAAGCCAGTTTCCGGGCACCTTAGGATCATTTCGGCATATTCCTCAGGCCAGTTCCCAAGCCTGGCTGCAGTCAGAATGTATCCCCAGGAATGTTCTAGGATTGCAGACTTCTGGGCCCCACCCCAGACCCCTGAGTCAGGAGCAGAGGGCTCCGGGGATCTACAGGGAGCACCCCCAAGGCTCTGAGGCAACGGGCTGTGCAAGGCCTTGTCCTCCAAGCGCCAGCCTCTGCAGGGGCTTTCCTGCCTGTCCTTGGCTGAGTTGGCAATGCCAGTTCTGTGCACAGGCTTGCTGGGCTTCGGGCTCGAGGCAGAACCTGAAGAGGGCTTGTGGCGTGCCAGAGGGGTCCCTCGTTCAGTACCTGGGACATTCCTTCCCTGTGACCCTAAGGATTTTTTTTTTAATGTGTCATGGGGGTATCTATTATCTTTGCCCGACATCCAGCCCCTCTTTTAACATCTGCCCCGTCTGAGGCTGGGTCCTCCCAGCAGCAGAACCTGAGACAAGGATGTGAGGGCTAGTAGAGTATTTGGGAGGTGACCCCAGGAACCCCTGGATGAGGGGAGAAGGGAAGGCAGCCTGTACGTGGTACGTTAGTGAGCAGTTCCCTACCTTGGGCAGCCAGGCTCACGGCCGGGGCCTCTAGGAAAGGGGAAGCTGGTGTGTTTACGAGCCAATACTAATTTATCATGGGTTGAGGGCTGCTCCTGGGGGTTAACTGGCATTTCCTTCCTGCTCTACGAGGGCCACAAGCCTCCATCAAGTTGCTTTGGGGCACTACCTCTTCCCCTTTTTCCATCCTTGGGGTTGGGGGGGCCCCCCCCCCCCCCCCCCGCCAAGTCCAGATGGCATCAGCGAATGGTTCAGAGACAGGCCTATGTCCCAGTTGACCAGTCAGAGCTCAGAGCTCACCCTAGAAATTCTGCAGGGACCTGGGGGGGAAAAACTCCACTGGGATTATCCAGCTTCCAGGGTATGGGCCACGTGGAGGAGGAGAGCGAAGCCAACATGGAGAATGGAACCAAGAGAGAAGGGGGATATTTGAGCCCCTAGATCCAGCTATACCTGAAGCCAGTGTCATTCTTGGAGTTCCCGATTATGTGGATCAATTAATCCCCATTTTTGCCTGAAGCAGATTGTGTTAGATTTTGGGGTCTCTGGCAACCCAAAGAGTCTGACAGTCATAATGTGCCATTCCAGGAGAGGCACGTTTTGGGCTGGGGCATTTGTAGAGCTTACATGGGGACATGGAGCAAGAGACAGAAAAGTGTCTGAGATTCCATTACCTACCTTTGGTGGTGCAGGGACATGTGTGACATAAACATAGAAAGAGCTGAAGTCATGAAGCTCCAGGATTGTGAGCTGGGGATTAACATGGTCTAGTTAGGGCAGTGCAAGGCTCCTCCCCACCTCATGGTAGTGGTGGTCCAACTTGGAACGCTGGGAGTCCTGTGCTGGGCAGTTAGTTACCAAGGTGACACATAGCTCAGCTGCTGGGATTCTCTTTACAAAATTCCAGCATCAGGAAAGACTCCAGAGAAAAGTTTCAATTCCAGAACCAAAGGGTGGGCAATGGAAACAGAATTCAAGTGCAATGCCACAGCTTTGAACGGATTCTCAAAGGGGTCTGTCTCAGAAAAATCTGGGCTCCAGAAAACTCTTAAGTCAGAGGTTTCAAATTGTGCTTCCTGGGAACCCCCATTCCTCAAAAATGCCTTGTGTGTGAGGAGACACTGAAGGGAGGGGTGGGGAAGGGACTGGGAGAACTCCGAAAGCCACAGCTGCCTCTGCCGCCCCTGAGGGCCACCCAGCACCTTTCCTTCTGGCTCTTTCCAGCTCCTTCCAGGCCCTGCCCAATCTCCCACACCAGTGCCCTGAGACCCCCTCCACAGAGGCCCCGGAGGTCTGGCCTCAGAGGAAGAATTGTCCCAGAGGCTGTCTCTGGGCCACAGGGAGCCCTGGCATGCTCTGTTCTCTGCACACCCAAGTCCCAGGGGGCTTCTGGAAGGCAATCCTGTTGTGGACAAAAGGGGCCACATGTGAACCTGACAAGCTCAGGGAAGGCCTGCTAGACTCAGAGACCTAAAGTAACCACAAAGGATGGTCTG